GATGGGCCAAACGCCTTTATTGTATATTTATATATTATTACAAATGTTTGTTATATAGTTTGTATATATCATTACTTTTTAAAGTAAGAACTATACCACATAACCAAATGATGCATGTTTAGTTTTTTTTTTGAGGCATCTATCTCTACCCAAATGACCATCCTCCATTTGTATATGACAGCTTCAACTGTCATCTCTCTTTTCGAATAACTTTGGGATCGCCATTGTTACCAGTGCACACATACACATGTGTTTGAATATATATACATATATTTGTGTATGTTCCTGTTTATGAAGCTGGAACAATGAAATTATATTTCTCTAGTTATAGCCCTGATTCCCAGCTACATGTGGTTTATCTTCTCTTTTCAAAACCAGACTTATGATAAAGTAGGTTTATTGCAGCTGGAATTACTTTTTGCTGTACTTGCCAGAACTACAAATGTTTTAAATCTGCAGTGTTTTTGTTTAACTTTATTCTTTCAATTTTATATTTAAATGTAATCTTATAGGTACTAATTGTCTAAATAATCTTGTTTCCAGGCTGATAATCGGAAGAGACATAAAGAAGAAAATAATGATCATCTCGATGACTTTAAAGCTGCAGAACATGCTTGGCAGAAACATAAGCAGCTCAATGAGTCTATTATTGTTGCACTTTTTCAGGGTCAGTTCAAATCCACAGTACAGTGCCTCACCTGTCACAAAAAATCTAGGACATTTGAGGCCTTCATGTATTTATCTCTACCACTAGCATCTACAAGTAAATGTACATTACAGGTAAGAAAGAGAGAAAATGATTTGTTGGGTAAAAATGTCATTTATATACATAGAGGTGTACATTTTTTAGCGATTTATGTCTGGCCATCGCCTCTGTAAACATTTTATGGAAAGAATTAGAAATTTACCTTTTTTAGCGGTACCTTTTTTAAGAATTGATAATGATTTTTAAAGTTTTGGGTTTTTGTTTTGCATTGCTGGAGATAGAACCCAGGCCTTGAACATGCTAAGCAAATGCTTTACCTATATGCCCAGCTCTAGAAGTTTTAATTTGGAAAATTGTATATTGACTTCACCTTAGATCTACTTTTTATGAGTGTGTGCTTTACATGGGAATATCAGATATTTTGGTTTTCACACAACAGCAGTGTGATGTATATAATAGTTTGTTGATASTATTAATCTTAATTTCCTCTAGAACATCATATCCTCCAATCAAGTCTTTCCTGGCCCATCAGGTGCAGGTTAAAGGTCTTCCTGTTTGCCATCATGACCCATAGCACTTTTCATTTCATCGTAGATAGCCCTCGATGTGCTGTGATTCTGTTCACTGGAGTATGTTCCTCACCTGATTTGGTTGGAATTTTGTTCAAGGTTATTACTGTATCTGGGGCCTACAGAATGAATTAGTGAAGAGATGCTGTCTGGTGCTATGTGAAGACATTAATTATTGAGTACCTGCTACTTGTTTTTTTCACTAGGATTGCCTTAGATTATTTTCCAAAGAAGAAAAACTCACAGATAACAACAGATTTTACTGCAGTCATTGCAGAGCTCGACGGGATTCTCTAAAAAAGATAGAAATCTGGAAGTTGCCACCTGTGCTTTTAGTGCATCTGAAACGGTAAAAGGGAAATTTTTTCTATCTGTTCAGTAAAATGAAGGAATTCAAAGTCCTGTGTARTTTACACTTATTATACTGGCTACAAAGGAAACATACCAAAAGAAGGTTGTCTGGCTGGGGCAGCTCTAGGGTAATAAAGTAAAAATGAGGCCAGAATACAATATTGTAACTTCATGTAGTTCCATGTGATTTCACTTTTTAAAAATGAATGAAACTAAATTGTTAAATCAAGTGAAAATGTATAAAAATACATGTTATACAGTATACTTGTAACACAAATTAGCAGGTCAAACATTCCAGCAGTGAGCATTTACAGATTGAATCATGTTTTTAAAAAGGAAATAAAATGATTTTTTTTTAGAAGTGTAATTTTAAAAGTGAAATATGTTAGTAATGTTAAGTGTAGACTGTTGTGTCCAAATCTTTCTAACTAATGAAAAAGATCTGGTTCAATAGTGGAGGGAATGATGGTGAAAGATGTAAAAACACATACCAGATCTTTTGCTCTTACTCCTTGGTCTTTTGATAACTTTTGAGCTAGTTTTATGAAAAACTACTTTAAAGGATGTTTCATCTTTTTATTGAGAAGAATAATTTTTGTTTCAAAGAAAGCATTTCTGTATTGAAGATTCTTAGTTATTAATGTTAATTTCAAGATTGATGTGTTCATATTTCTCTTGTACAGTTTTTCTAACAAAATTTGTCCATTGCCCCCTTTTCTTGAAGATTATAGAGGTATAAACATTCTATAAATGAATACAGATTTGTTCTGAACATATTTGAGTGCTGATATTCTTAGAGGTTATTCAAAAGTATATACAGTTCAGAAATTTCTTTTAAAAAAATAATGCCGGGTCCAGTGGTACATGCTTGTAATCCCAGCTACTCAGGAGGCTGAAGCACAAGGAYTGCAAGTTCACAGCAAGCCTCAGCACTTTAATGAGGCCCTTAGCAACTTAGCAAAGTAAAACATAAAACGGGCTGGGGATGTGGGTCAATGGTTTCTAAGTGCCCCTGGGTTCAGTCTCTGAAACCAAAAGAATAAAAAAGTAATGCCGGGACATGGCTCAGTGGTAGAGCACTTGCCTAGCACACATGAAGCTCTGAGCACCACAAAAAATTAATTCTAAAATAACCATATTACACCAACCAAAACATCAGTACTTGGGGTATTTAAAAAGAGCAGAGTATGCAAGAATAATGGAATGTCATTATTTTAATCACCAGTCTGCCCACAGTCACTTTGTAACTGTAGTGTCCCCTAAAGTACAAGTTTAAATCTAGAGCAGCTCTCCTCAGTCTTCATGTCTGCTTTTGTGGTGATTAGTGTTCTGAGCATGCAGTCCTCTGTAGAGGACTTACATAACAATTATAGCTAGTCAGTGGTTCAAGGGATTGAAGTGAGGACCTATATGTTATTCTGTCACTTTGGACATGTTATTTAATATCTGCAACTTCAGTTTCCTTGTTAGTAAAATGGAAATGAAAAATATTTTTAATAGGTCCTTTCTCTTCTGAGTCTTTATATTTGAAATGGACTTTGTGGTCATGGCTAAAAATCTGGATATTAAATGAGTAAGGATTCATGCTGATGTCTTTCTCTAGCAGTGTAATTCCTGTAATGTTTTGTTCTGCAGTTTTTCCTATGATGGCAGGTGGAAGCAAAAATTACAGACATCTGTGGACTTCCCTTTAGAAAATCTTGACTTGTCACAGTATGTTATTGGTCCAAAGAACAATTTGAAGAAATATAATTTGTTTTCTGTTTCAGTAAGTATCTTTTTAAACTAAAAACTTGTTGTTGTTGTTTCTTTAAGCAGATTAATAGGAGTTTCAAGCGGCTCTTACCTCATAGGAGAGTAAGAACAGCATAAACAGGGCTGGGGATGTGGCTCAAGCGGTAGCGCGCTCGCCTGGCATGCGTTCGGCCCGGGTTCGATCCTCAGCACCACATACCAACAAAGATGTTGTGTCCGCCGAAAACTAAAAATAAATATTAAAAAATTCTCTCTCTCTCCTCTCTCTCTTTAAAAAAAAAAAAAAAAAAAAGAACAGCATAAACATTTGCAAGTGACATTTTAAATAGCCATTCAATTTTCATTTATGCTCTGTCTTGTTTGGCACAGAATCACTACGGTGGGCTGGATGGAGGCCACTACACTGCCTATTGTAAAAATGCAGCAAGACAGCGGTGGTTTAAATTTGATGATCATGAAGTTTCCGATATCTCCGTTTCTTCTGTGAAGTCTTCAGCAGCTTATATTCTCTTTTATACTTCATTGGGACCACGAGCAACTGATGTAGCCACATAAGGAGGTATAGGTTATGAGCTAGTTAAATTGTAAAAGGTTCAGTCAACAACTTTTGAAATGCTTACAAAGGTAATGGATAGCTAGCTGCAACTGGTTATTTAGAGGAATTCTAGGAACGTGGGAACTGTGTTACTAGCACTATATAATTCAGGTCAGTGCTATTATCAAAAAACTGACAAATAATATTTAACAAGTATCACAGTAAGCATCCCTTACCAGGTACTCTTTATTTCAAAACAACTTTTTTAGTCTGCTCCAAAGTTAAAATAATTAACTAGCTAAGCATTATTATTGTACTGATCTGAAAACCATTATAACCTTCATTTTCCTTTTCACTGTTATGGCCTTTTCACATTTCTAATCCCAGCTTGATCTACTATGAATACTCTAGGATGATGTAAAGCAGATAGGAATGTATATGTACATATTTATTGCACACTTGCACATCAATGTACATAGTTTAACATGGTCCTTTTGTGAACCCTAGAACTCAGAAGATTGCTGTTTTTATTTGTTACTTCTTTTTGTTTTTTTTTTTTTTTTTTTGGCCTATTCTGAGTAACAGCAGTGCTTTCTTAGGGAAATGACAGGGCAAAGCTATTTTTCTGTTGGCTTTGGGCTGTATTTGTGCACTAAATCTTTATTCTAAAAGAATAAATGGAAACTTTCTTTAATTTTTTAAAATAAGAATTTCATTTACACCTACATTAAAATCTTATTGAGAAAAATAATTAAAAACCCTCTATGTGTTCTGTCTTTAATGTTATCAATATAGGATAGTAGAAACATAGATTTTACACACACGCACACCCTCATCCTACCAGACTAACTCTACATTTAGTTCACTTGTCCTGTTGAATCAGGATTCCTGATTTCTTGCTTTAATATGGCACCAGAGCTACAGATAGTACTTAAGAATTCTCAGAGTTGAATTCTCAAGAGTAGAATTAAAGCGAAAGGGTAGGAGTCAGACCTGATTGCAGAGTAAACTGCAATAATGAACCACATCTTTTCAGAGTGATATATTAAAAATGAAGGAGCTTAGACATCATTTATCTCAGGGACTTGATTGCTACAAATGAAGACAATAAAAGCACTTCATATAGAAAAGTTTCTGTAAGATTCTAAAAGTGCTTTTGAAAAAAATGTCACCATTAACTCTCAAGGAGAAGATGAAAGCAAGGATTTCCAGTGATAAAATTGACAACTTTTCATATTCTTTAATTAGTTGAGAAGACTTACAGATTTTTGACTAAATTATTATGTCAGTTAAATATTTTGCCATCATGTGTTTTAGCTCAGAGCCATTAGAATAGAAACACAAAAGTTTATTGTGTGTACCAGGGATAGAACCCAGGTTTCACACCTGCTATCAAGTGCTCAGCCATTGAGCTACACATAGCTTGGTCATGAGCAAAAATTATTTGTTTAGCTCCATGCAGTATCTTTGGAAAAAAAAATTACTGAATATATGTAATTATGAGGTATTTTACGATAGAAATCCACAGTAATAAACAAATTTTGAAACCTGAACTCAATATGTAATCTGCAGTGCTTTAAAGCTCCCCACTATTAGCATTTCATGCTTTTTTTCAATGAACCAGGACCCATCTTTTGTGTATAACTTTTCAGATAAAACTGAAAAATGTTAGTGATGCAGTTACGTTAGTTGTAGGAGTTTTAATGACAAAGCAAAACTTAACTACCAGTTTCTGATTGCTTGTTTTGCATTTTCCAGGAAACATTATTTTCCTAGCTCTTGCATTTTTGTACTGGTTTTGAAAAGGGCTGGCAGCTATAGAACAGGAGATATGCTGTAGCGGTTTGAACAGAAGTTTCTGGAATCTCACTGACTCTTGTGTCATCAAAGCTATACCAGGCCTGGGTAACTGAGTTCTTGCAGAAAGCAGTGTAGTGGCCACCATCCAGATCACCAAAGTGGTTCTAGGGAAGGAAGGAATGTCAGACTTAGTATTGACATGCTAGTGCTTGACTACTAAAACAAAAACAGTAGGGCCAAATAAACTGTTAAAATTGTCCCTTATACTTAATTAAAAGGACATAATTTTGTTAAGTCATACACACAGCCTRTGACTGCTGCTATATTGTTTTTCACTTCACTGGAATTGCTTACATGTTGTGCCCAGTGACTATTTTARCAAAATCTGTGAATGAAATAGAATAGTGTATGAGAACATTTGATCAATATGTATCAGTTGATACATATTATTTATCAGTTAACACAATGTACATTGAACATTAAAGGAAGTTTTTAAAATAAGTGACAAGGTAATTTTTACTAAATGAACTTATAGTTTAAGGACAGGCTCAAACAAAGGCATTTAACATTGGAATCAGACATACAAGCAAATGCTTATTATCACAGCACAATTTGAGGGAGATGTGCATGAAACAACCACCTCTATCACTTAGGGTGCAAAAAAGAACCTGTCCCATCCTTATTATCCATGTCTTTCTTAAGCTAGCAGAGGATTACGTGAAACAAATACACTGAATAACCTTACTTCCAAGAACATAGTATGATGTAGAACAGGGATTGGCAAACACTGCCCATGGCCACACCTAGTGAGATGCCTGTTCTCACATCACCCATGAATTAAGAATAGATTGTATATTTTTATATGGTTAAAATAACTCCAAATAACAATATTTTGTCACATTTGAAAATTACATGAAATTGAAATTACAGTGTTCTTAAATAAAGTTTTATGGGAACACAGCCATGCTCATTTGTTTGTTTTACAGTGGCTCATTCAATGCTACAATAGTAAATTTGAATTGCTGGAATAGAAACCATATGATGTGTAAGGCCTAAAATGTTAATAGTATCTAGAGCCTTTTACAGAGTAAGTTTGCTGACCCCAACATAGAAAAAAAAATGGATTTTTGTAGCCAATTCCAAATGTGAATTCAGGGATAATATTATACAGAGACCTTAGAATAATTATTTAACCTTGCTGAGCTTTAATTATGCATCTTGTAACATGAATATTAGACTATTAGTCTTGTATAACTATTGTCAGATACATATTATAGAACTAGCTCAGAAGGGGTACTTAAATTACATGTCTCTTTAGACCTTCCTCTTCTGCACCTTTCCCCTTACATAGAAACATCCCTCAACTGACAGTTACAACATCTTTCTGGTCCTGGTCCTTTCTGTATGATCTTAAACTGATATGCTTTCATATTTTTTTAAATGGTGCCCATAATAGTGTAATATAATTTCGTTGAGAAAAAACATCTGGTGATATGTAATTCTCAGGTCAGGAAATGATGTTCTGAAATGATTAGAACATGGCTGGAGTACTGCATTCAGCTTTGACGAATTTTTTTTTTTAAGTTCAATGTGATGGGAGACAGTAAACTATCTTTCTTGACTTCCATTTCTAGCACTTACTTAAGTCAGACAGCTAGTCCAAAAAGCCTATTCCAAAACTTGTAAAGGATGCTGGATTGAAAAAAAAAAGTAGATACCCTTTGAAAAGTATAGCTGACTTGAAAGATAAGTATAGTGAGGGTAATTCCCAGGAGCCAAAAACAAAAATTTCAAAGTAGCATGATGCCTTGTGCCTGTGACTGCCTGGAAATAAAGACAGTTCCTGGTCTCTGGGGTTAGATGGCCATTCAGGGAATTTAGAGGTAATGTCTTAGGCCCTTGCCAGGTGAGAAGTTGGCTTGATATCTATATACAAAGCCAGAGAGGGAGATTTACCCTCAATGAAAGGATAAACTTGGGGGTGGGGATCAACCTTCTAATGCTTCTGTTAGCTTGGAGTCTGGGTACAGATAATAAAAGTCATTCCTGAGAATTTATTACCACAGACTTACCTTCTTACCAGTTTGGAATTCAAATTTACATTACCTATACTGTCTGGGAATCCTGACATTTATAATGAAAAGTATTTCTCGGGTGCTTAACCTGAAAAATATTTCCAGACTGACGGATCTTAACTCAGGCTAACTAAGATACCAATATAGAAAACCCCAATGGAAAACAAAACCCAATGAAGTTGAGCTCACAGTTCAAATAATGGAACATACAAGGAAACAATTCACTATGAATAAGTCAGAAGGCAACAAATATCTAGATTAAACCCCCAAAGGACTTTAGATAATAGATTATCAAAATGAAGACTATAAATAAATATATTTTAATATTATTAAAGACATTTAAGAGAAGGAAATTAACTTTAAAAAGCTAAACAACTTTCAGAAACAAAATTAAAATACTTAAAAATTAGTAGACAGGCCTGGCACAATGGTGCACACCTGTAATCCCAGCAGCTCGGGAGGCTGAGGCAGGAGCTTCATGAGTTCAAAGCCGGCCTCAGCAACTTGGCGAGGCACTAAGCAACTCGGTGAGACCCTGTCTCAAAAAAATAAGAAGGGCTGAGGATGTAGCTCAGTGGCTAAATGTCTCTCAAAAAATAAAATAGTGGACAGGCCAGGCATGGTGATACACATGTAATCCCAGCAACTTGGAAGGCTGAGGCAGGAAGATGGCAAGTTCAAGGTTGGCAGTGCAGTTTAGTAAAAGACTGTCTCAAAACAAAGTAAAGTGGAACTAGGGATTTAGCTCAGTGGTAGAGTGCCTCTGGGTTCAAAACCCAGTATTTGCAGGGGGGAAAAGAGAAAAAAAGAAGGAGACAGAGTAAGTAATGTATAGAATAAAAGGAGAGAATGAATACATAAAAATTAAGCTGTGAAAATGACCATGCATGGAGTAATGATAGGAAAATATGGGTTAAGAAGCATGGCATTATGTATAATTAATTAGAACCAAATTTTTTAAATGGGGAAAAAAAGCATGGCAAAATGGATGAAAAAAGTTACTTGTAATAGAAGGTCTAGGAGGGAAAGGCAGAATATAGGAACAAGGCAATATTAAAAGTGATGATAGCTAAAAACTATTAACAACAGAAAAATTAATTTTCAAATTGAAGAAGTGTAATGAGCCAGAGATAAATAATACTGCAGATCGAGGCAAGGAGAAAAACCTTAAAAGCAACCAGAAAGAAAAGACAGGTTACTCACACCCAAAAATGACATATTGCTGGTAGAAGTTCTTTGGCAGCCATAGAAACAAAAAAAACAAAATAGCTTCAAAATGATGAAGGAAAATTAACTTATTTCAGAGCTAGATTTCTAATTGAATTATTCAGCAATGAAAAGTAGACTAAAGGCTTTTTCAAAGACTGATATAAAAGGATAAAAGAACCTCATTGAAGTCTGCTAAAATATGTGCCACATATATAAACAAAATTGAATAAAGGGGGAAAAATAAGAGGAATGATTAGCAAAAAGGACTAATAACACTACTGGCAAATACAAACCAACATGAACTGGATAAATAATGTCTCCTTGGAGGCATATATAAAAAAAAAACAAGTTAAAACTAAAATGCTAGAAAACAATAATAGTGTTCAGTGACCAGAATTACAAAAATGTTCTCAGATCCTTCCATTTGTTTGGGAGGAATAAAAGACCTTGGTTAACTTTAAGCTTTAAGTATGGAATCCATAGCTTCTAGGGTAATTGCTAAAGAATCAAAATGTGTAACTTCCAAAGTTGTAGAGGAAAAATAGTCTAAAGAAAGCTTTATCAACTTAGTAGCAGCCAAAAAATATGAGGAAACAACTAGAAATAAAGCACAAAAGAGGACTAAAACCAACCCAATTTTATCACTAGTTGAAATATATGGAAATAAACTAAGCAGACCACTGACTAGGTTTTAAAACTTAAGTTCTATATACTTTATAATATTTATAACTCAGAAAAGGCTAAATTTAAAGGGATGACCTGTAATTCCAGTCACTCAGGAGGCTGAGGCAGGAGGATCACAAGTTCAACGCCAACCTCAGCAACTTAGCAAGACCTTGTCTCAAAAAATAAAAAAGATGGGGATGTGGCTTATGGTAGAGTGCCTCTGGGTTTGAACCCCAGAATCAAAAAATTTAAATATGTATATAAAAATGCTGATCCAGGGGCYGGGATTGTGGCTCAGCGGTAGAGTGCTCGCCTAGCATGGGCGGGACCCAGGTTCGATCCTCAGCACCACATAAAAATAAAGGCATTGTGTTGTGTCTAACTACACCTAAAAAATAAATATTTTTTTAAAAATGCTGATCCATAATGGGAGAGCATGGGAAGAATGGAGGAACTTTGATTGAACAAAGGGGAGGGAGAGAGGAGAGGAGGCATGGGGTAGGAAAGATAGGGTAATGATGTCCATCTCATTCCACCATGTACATGTATGACTGCACATATGGTACAACACTACATTGTGTACAACCAAGGAAATGAAAAGTTGTGCAGTTGTGTACCATGAATCAAAATGTATTTTGCTGTCATATATACCTCATTAGAATAAATAAATCTAAAAAATAAATAATATTTATATAATAAATATTACATATACTCTAAAAAAGGAAAAGAAAACATTAATAACTATTAAAAAGGGATGGAAAAAAGATGTAGTATATGTACTACTGAAAGAAAGAGGGTTAGCTATATTTATAGTAGCCATATAATTATCAACTAAAATGGATTTTAAGCCAAAAGGCACTAGAGTTACTTTATAATGAAAAAAGTTCTAGATCACCAAAAGGTTATAATTCTTAACTTTTATGCACCTAATAAAATAGATTTGTTTTAAAAGAAAAAGAGACAACTGTAAGGAAATCTTGAGAAGTTTACCAGCATAATGGAATATTTCAGCACATTTCTTTGAATTGTCAAACAAAAATAGTATAGTTATAGCTTTGAACAATACATGCTTCACTTAAAGACTGGCTTCTCAAGTAAAAACATATAAGTCTCGACAAATATAAAAGTTTCATACAGGCAACAGTCTTTGAACACAGTAAAAAAATTTAGCAGTCAGTTATAAAAATGACCCAAGACCCCATATTTTTGGAAAT